AGGCCACGCGCACTCTTCATAAGGTCGGAACTGTTCCCTTGCACACGGCGCCTTGTTAGAGCAGGAAAACACTTCTAACCTTTGCAGACATCCTCTCAAAGTAAGTATGCTAAAGGGAAACTGGAGCCAAGGATTTTTTCATGCCCAACAGAGTGATCCATCCATTTAATCTAATGAAGAAAAATTCGGAGGTAGCTTGTTGCAGAATTTGCAATATATGAGGCCGTTGTTAGCTTTATGCAATTGCAGCGGATTAGATTGTGGACCAAAGAAATTCTGTGTATATATTTTAGATCTCATTCACTCTGTGTGTGCATATTCATAAACGAATAAATGACTTAAATGGTAAGATCCTATTATGCAGCCAGGCATTCAGACATAATGCTGTTTATCTACTTATTTGTTTTCAGTACTTGTGATTACATTGAAGTTATAGGCTACTGTCTACCAACCGAATGTGTTCTCTTTACTTTCTAATCCAGCGAGTGGCTTGGCTCAGTGCGTTCCCTAGGCGCGTTTCCCATTTAATCCAGCAAGTGGCTGGGGCTACGAAATGAATGTATCCACTTTATTTTCTAATCCGGCGAGTGACTAGGCTACGAATCCAATGTGTTCACTTTATTTTCTACTCGAGCAAGTGGCTAGGTTAGGAAGCCCTCCCTGCTTCAAACACCTCAATGCGTCTAGGCGCGTGTAACAACCCAAATAAAGCATAGAGTTCTCATAGAGGTTCTCAATGCACCTTATCAGTGTCCTCCATTAGTGGTGGTCTTCTTCGGCTGACATTGGCCTACTTTTTGCATTAGCATAACTACAGTTGCTGTTTTACCTGCCAGGCCACTGTTGCGCATCGTGTGCTAATTGGACAGCTTCTCCCACGGAGTGTGCGTCGGCTGTGTGCGAGGAAGGTTTGCCATGCCTCCGGCAGATTGCTTGCTTCCACACCAAACCGAAGCCTGTATTGGGCATTGTTAGGCGCGCCTACATACTTCTTCCCCTAAGTGGTCCTTTTTCTCGGAGCTTGTGTTTCAAACTGCTCCCGTGGACCTCGATAGCGTTTGTGTTCTTTCCCGTAACTGGGTCCGCCAAATTGACAGAATGACTGACTGCTGGATGCTGGTAGCCTCTTCGGAAAGACGTGAATACGCCTTCCACTGATCTCTAACAATGATGCTGCCCCGAGCAACCCATTAGTAATGACTGCTCTCAGTGATGGACAGCTACGATCGTTTACTTGCTCGAAGAGGGCTTTCTTGCGTAGTGTGTCGTACATTTCGACAATCTAATTTTGATCCTTCCGGAGCGCAGGGTTGGACTAACGTCGACTGATGAGGGTTTCATCCACCTGGACTTCTACTCCCTGTCCGCCTAGATGCCTCACGTTCTTCATGAGGGTCGTGCTGCGGACACTTTGCCAGATAGCGTACCACCCAACCGCTGTATTGCGATTGATGCCAACGGCCGTTGCACATCTTAACACTGCCGTACCTTCGAGGAACGGGAGGCCAGTCTTCATTTTGTTGTTTAGGAAAAATCGGCTATTCTCTAAGGCTGAACCTGTCCTTATTGCCCTCTTCGTTCTACATCGGCGGCACCTGCAAAAGATACAGATCTTTGTTCCTTATGCAATGCTTGAACGCATAACCGTCTGTATGCTGTCACAAAACCTACAGTTTCATTGCTTTCCGACATCGGCGTACAGTATGCGAGTTCAGCAACTTTTGCTCCTGCTGATATCGCGTTATATATGACGAGTTAAGAACTTCCTGTATCCGGACAAACTCCGTCGGTTTATCCACTTGCGGTCCAGTTCTGCGATGTTGTCTGACGGTTTGGATTCTAATGGTGAACATCACTTATCTTTTATTTATTTGCCATAATAACCACAAGCACACTCCTGCCGGTACTAGGCGTCCGCTCTGCACAATGCCGTTGTCAAATTCTACCCCGTCAGTTTACTCCAGTTATGCCAGGTTTACAATTTTATATTTTTTGTCCTGCTGCACACCTACCTTGTGCATTCCACACTTACCTTTCCTCAGTTGCTTCGTCGCCTACGTTGCCTGTGCTCTGCGTCAATTATGCATCCATGTCTCCGCTGGGGACGGTTTCCCTGCACACCTTTATCTATGCCCTGACGTTCCGCTCGCGCTTGTGATTGGCCGATTTGATCTCCTGCGTCCGTTCGTGTGTAGCGGTTAGGTTGCCCCTCATTTAAGGTTCCGTTGTGCTACACTCTACGGTTTTTATACACTTCCGCGATCGCCTTCTCGTCGTGTACGATGGCCTTACCCTTCTTACCGCCATTCCTGTAATGCAGGCAGCTGGGCTTGGGCTGTTTCAGGGAAGGCTGCATATTTGGATCTGACCGACTAAATTAGCCTGACAAGGAAAGTCTGATGCGAATAATGAGTAGAAATTCGGCTCAATGATGAAAGTAGACGTACCCGAGATATGTTCGCTGTTGGTAATTTGCTCAAACTGCGGGCATGCGAATAACCTATGCAGGGTAAACTCCCCGAGGATTTTTGTCGACTCACCTGCCGCTCATGCTAATTGGATGCTAATTTTCTGACCCCCTGTCTGTCCGGTCGAGGACTGCCTGCCAGTCTGAGAAGGAAAACGGAAGAAGATAGGGTTTATATACGCGCATATGTCAGAAGTGTCTTTTTGCGATTTTGATGAAAAGTTCGAATTCTCGCAACACGCTAAACATTTGCGTGGGTTTGTTGTCGTTCTGTCATCTCCTCGGGACGCTAATGTTAAATTTAGCCCTTCTCAATAAATTCCCGCATTATCTATTTCATTCCTAAGTGTTTTGTAATTTATTCTAGTGTCGAATCCGCTGATGTGCCGTGGGGATGGATTCTCCAGTGTTGTTTTAACTCTCTTTTCCCTCATTCACGCACGACTGTAAACCAACTAATGATGTATAGTATAGTAGTATATGTGGGGTGATTGGCAATGCGCTTGATGACCTTATTGAAAACGGTGCAAACGATACTAATGTTGAATTCACATCTTACTAAAACTTGCCAGTAACATATTTGTTTACGCTAAACGTTTTTTACTGTGTGGAACTGCGAAGGGTGTGGCAGGCGATCCTCTCCACGTACATTTGAAATTATTAGTGCAATTATATATAATCAGCACAAAGTGCAGTCATTTGCGTAGTTTGCGTGAAAAAAATTCCACTAAAAATGCAGGGATGAATTTAGGAAATAAGATTTATGGCTGGCCGCAGATAGTCCTGCAGTGGGAGTCGTCGTTTATCAAAAATCAAACGATCCAACTGCCTTTCAAACACAGCTATGTTATCAGATGTCATTATTTCACTTGAGAGTGAGTTCCACGGTCGAACAACACGTTGGCTAAAGGTCTAGGCGTGTGCGCTCCCGCTTAACAGGTGACCGCGCAGGTGACTCATGGTCCTGAAGTCAAAGAAGTCTTTAGATTTGAGCGACCATTCATGCCCGTGGATAATGCGGAATCTCCATAACAGGTCACACCTCATTCGTCTATAGTATTCGGGGAACACGTCTAACTGGATCAGTCTTTTTGGGTATGACAGAGTGCGGAGACCGTCCACCAGTTTTGTGGCCCGTCGTTGCACCTGCTCTATGGCATCACTGTCCTTCTTCATCCAGGGCATCCATGATGGCATTCCGTATTCCAAATGCAGTCTGACGAACGTGCCGAACGTGCCACCACCACCACCACCACCACCACCACCACCACCGCAGATAGTCCTGCATTCGGAGTCGTCGTTTATCAAAAATCAAACGATCCAGCGGCCTTTTAAACACAGCCATTGTATCAGATGTCATTATTTCACTTGGGAGTGAGTTCCACTGTCGAACAACACGCTGGCTGAAGAAAACCTTCCGATGGTCTAGGCATGTGCGCTCCCGCTTAACAGGTGACCGCGCAGGTGACTCATGGTCCTGAAGTCAAAGAAGTCTTTAGATTTGAGCGAACATTCATGCCCGTGGATAATGCGGAATCTCCATAACAGGTCACACCTCATTCGTCTATAGTATTCGGGGAACACGTCTAACTGGATCAGTCTTTTTGGGTATGACAGAGTGCGGAGACCGTCCACCAGTTTTGTGGCCCGTCGTTGCACCTGCTCTATGGCATCACTGTCCTTCTTCATCCAGGGCATCCATGATGGCATTCCGTATTCCAAATGCAGTCCGACGAACGTGCCGAATGTCTGTAAGAAGAGTTCTGAAGGAAAGATTTTGAAGGTTGCCTTTTAGACGACTCTTTTGCGGTGCTCGGAGGGAAGAAAGTTTGAACTTGTACAGACATCCGAGTCTTTTTGCGTGTCCATTGCTCTTATTGAAACCCAATTTATGGTGTACTGGTATTTTGGGCAGCGCTTCCGATGAGATTCTAGGCGCAAGACTACACATTTTGTTACATTAAACGTTGAAAGCCACTTGCAGAACCATGTAGCCAACTTATTAACATCTTCCTGCAGTTTCTGAGAGTCGTCGTCCAAATATCTGTATAATCTGCAAACATGACGGCATCGCACTCAAGATCTACAGTACAGTCGTTTATATAGATGAGGAAGAGGAGAGGACCCAAAAATGAACCCTGCGAAACACCGTTGTTTACTGGCGCCCATTCGGATGCAATGGTACCAAAAATTGCTCTCTAGAGTCTGCATGACAGGAAACTTTTAATCCACTGAAAAATGTTGCCCTGTATTCCACACTCTCAAATCTTCTGTAGGAGTCGTCCATGAGGAACGGTATCAAACGCCTTTTTAAAGTAAAAGAAAATGACATCCACTGGACGGCCCTGGTCTACGGCTTTTGCTTATTTTTTCTGCGAGAAAAGCGGAGACTTGGACGGTGTACACAAAGCAGGCACGCCGACTGAACCACTTCCACCTCACATGTCTTCGTCGCATCCTGAGGCTGAGCTGGCAGGATCGAATCCCCAACACAGATGTACTGGAACGGACGGGAATTCTCAGCATTTACACCATGCCGAGACAAATGCAGTTGCGTTGGAGCGGCCACCTGGTGCGCATGGACGACGAGCGACTACCCAAGCGACTCTTCTACGGAGACGTCGCGACGGGTTCTCGCCGTCAAGGAGGCCAAATTCGTCGATACAAGGACACCCTGAAGTCCTCCCTGAAGCGCCTGCAAATCAATCTGACCAAATGGGAGGAGCTAGCACTTGACCGACCGACCTGGCGGAGGACAGTGAAGACAGGCGCTGCGATCTACGAAGCCAACCGCATCGCCGCCGTCAAAGTGAAACGCGAAACACGCAAATCACAGCTGCGCCCTATACGCAACGGCGACGCACAACCGCTTCCAACGTGTCCTCGATGTCAACGGACATTCCGGGCTCGAATCAGACTTGTTGAACATCTTCGGATCAACTGCGCCACGACCACTTTTATCCTCCTCCTCCTCCTCCTACTCCTCCTACTCCTCCTACTCCTCCTCCTTCTTCTCCTCCTCCTCCTCCACTGCCCAAAAGACGGCCGCTCTGGTGGCTGTCACGAACAACAACATCGCACACAACAATGACACCACAACAGACTCCATACCCCCAACCTCCGACTCCAGAAGTGAGGGCCAGGACTACACCTGCTTTCACTGCGAGCGCACCTTCACCTCACGCATCGGTCTGATTGGTCACTTGTGAATCCATCGCACAGAGGCTGGCGAACCAGTGCCTGGAGCACCAACCTACATCCACCGCACTTGCCTCCACTGCCCACACTGCCCTCGCACCTTCACGCATCGTATGGGCCTATTCGGCCACATGCGCATCCACGAGAGCGGAATTGACCGCAGTTCCGACACACCCACCACATCCACCACACCCATCATGCCCAGCCTCACACTCGCTTCATCACCCTGTGCGCCCATCGCCACCACCAACACCACTACCATCACCACCGCCTCCTCTGTAGCTGACACCGACACCGCCGACCTCTCATGCCCATATTGTCCACGCACATTCACCTCTCGCATCGGCCTGGTCTGTCACTTGTGAATTCATCGCACAGAGACTGGCGAACCAGTGCCTGGAGCACCAATCTATACCCACGACGCTTGCCTCAACTGCCCACACTGCCCTCGAACTTTCAGGCATCGCATGGGCCTATTCGGCCACATGCGCACCCACGACGACCTGCGGTAGACAGCGGCCGGCTACACCACACCACCACACCCTCCCGCCCTGCCTCCTCCACAACCACCACCACCCCACCGCATATCAGCACTTACCCACCGCAAGCGCCCAACTGCCACCTCCCACGCAATTGGGAAGTGTGCACCTCGACTCGGTCCCCATGCGGCTTCGGCTGCACGGGTGACTTGAGTCTGAGACTTTTCCGACACGTCAAGCGTCGTGGATAGGAAGGTTGCTAGTTGAGGCCCCCACGCGGTTCACGCAGTTCGTCGCGTTGTGTGTGTTGTGTGGAGTGGCGGACTGGTGCGCTGCGGACGGGCTGAAGCAGCACCTTCCACGGCCCTCTCACGCAGGTGAGAAACACGCCGTTCAACCCCCGTTGTGTGCAATCCTGGTGTTTGTGCGAGTATGGGGGGCTAGGTCGTGCATGTGGCGCGCGCAGGCATGGTCAGTCGACAGTGCCAGCCACCGCGCCCATTCCCCACTCCAGTCTGCTGACCGGCTCGGACAGTGGCTGGGGTGTGCGAATGGGAAGGGAGAGTGAGGTCGACGAGCCAGCGCATTTCCTCCTCACTATAAACAATCTGACGCGCTTGAAGCTATCACGGTGCGCTAAAAGCCGGGGCTTGGAAGGTTGCCAACTGACGGGATAACTTGGACCTTCTCCTCGACTGGTGGTGGTCTGAGAGTCAGGCTGCAATGGCTCCTTCTTAATGTGGCCTTTATGGCACTCCTAACACAGTGTGGGATCCGAGCCAGGCGTTGGTGGCACGCCCAGGTGCGGCTTCGGCCGTGCCAGCCTCCAAATCTCTGCTGTGTTGGTTGAAATCCTGGTCATTGTTGTGTGGACCAGGGGGTGTGGTGGAACGCCAAGGTGAGGACCCTTCCGAGCCATCCACCTGCGGCCTCCATCGTCTCCGGCCTTCTTGACTCTGTCTTGACACCGGGCTCAGGCGGGGGAGGAGAGACTGTAGGTAGATGCAGCGCAAGTCTACTGGCACTATAAACCCCTGCGCAAGTCACCGTCCCTGCTCCCACCGCTGCTGCAGCTGTGGGGCACACGGTGGACATAGTCGAAATCGACTGTCGAACTGTCGTGTGTGTGTGTGTGTGTGACCATCTTGTCCTCGTCATGGCGTATGTAGCGACATCGGACTTTGTAGGCCAAAGGGAGGCCTGGGTGCCCCTTGTCGGAGTTTGCATCTGAGACGTTCTGTCATTGAGGTGCCCCGGCCTAAGCGGTTGCTCCTTGAAAGTCAAAACTGTGGCCAGTTTCTCCAATGTGGGTTGCAAGCTGTGAGTGCGGATCTAGTTTCCGAGTTGCCAGGTTGTGCTCATATTGGCGGGTCTGCACTTTCCGTCCGGTATCTCTAACGTATTTGCAGTCTCCACCGTTACAACATATTTGATAGACAACTGCTGAGATTTCAGTGGGTGGCAGTATGTCTTTGTGTTGCATCAAACGGCGACGAATTGTTGCCTGGTGTCGATGGGTAATGCCTATCCTGGCGGGTTGTTACAGACGTGAAACTGCCCCGGAGACTCCTTTACTGTAAGGACTAGCCCTCCAGACTTTGGATCTTTCTTCATGTGGCCGTCGTCTGTTTACTCTGTGGCTGCTTTGCTTGATAAAGTAACTTGGGTATCTATTGCCCCGAAAGAGGTAATAAAGGTATTGTCGTCTAAATCTTTTGTCTGCTGGTGTGCTGCAGTGTGTTTCAACCCTTTGAAATAAAGCACGGATTCAGTTGCGTTTATGAGAGAGGGAGCGATTGCTGTTAAAGTGTAGCATTTGTTTTGTGCTGGTGGCTTTTCTAAAAACGTCAGTTTGAAATTACCCAGTTACACACCGACGCACAAGGACATCGGGAAATGGAAGTTAGTGGTTTATTACAGCTTCCTTCGTGAATTGGATATTCGGATCAACCGAGTTCAGTAA